TGGGGCCTGGCAGGGGTCCCCCCATGGCCCCTCCTTCATCCTCCCCCCCACCCCCTACTTACCAGCACGGAGTCCAGATCCAGCTCCCTGTGGCAGTGAGTTGCGACTGCCCAACTCTCCAAATCTTTTCCAAATTGATCCAGAGAGCTTCAAATGAATTTTTATTGGTCTCCCAGTTTGATTCAGATTTGGAGACACGGCTGCTGAATTGGGCCGAATCCCCTCCAAATCGAATCAGCACCTGAAGCTCTGCACAGCCTTAATAAACAGCCATGTCAATGGAAAGCTCTTTGAATAAGGAATTAGGAGAGTTGGGTTCTGCTCCCAGGTCTGCCACAGGTATGAAACTTGGGGCAAGTCATAACTATCTCCATGTTCTAGTCTTTGGCTAAATTTCCCCTTGACTTAAATAGGGATTATGGCTACCCAACTTCGTGAAATACTGAATTCCAATGCAGAAAGGAGAGCTACATATAATTGCTACTAGAGGTGATATTCTTGATACTATACTGATTCTTATTTCCCCTTTTGCATGAGAATAATACAGCATTTCATTATTTCACATATAGTCTCATGAGTGCTAAGTTTTGCCCTCATATCCAGACACCAACTGGGAAGTCTTTGAAAGTTGCATGTGCATTATCTTTTCTGAAATAATTTGAGGAGCTATTCAAGTACTGAGGAAAAGGGATTAAAAAAATTCCAGCACAGCTGAGAAAAAAATTATTGCATTTTTTCCATTTGTCCAGAAGATGCCAAAAACATTTGGCAATTCTCTAAAGGGAGGTGTTGGAAATGGTTGATTTCCACATGATGACAGAACTATGGTGATTTATTAGACTAATATTGAGTTCCTCCTTATCTTAAATGTCATGTAATTAATAACAGTATACCCCACTGATTTTTGGCAAAGACAGCTACATGACTGGTGAATAATTATATTTCTGGCACATTTTTAATGCAGTTGCCCCTCATTTTGTAGTATATAAATATCAGTTCTATAATAGTACAGCTAGCAGGTGAGAAGAAATCCTTCACAAACTCTTGGTTAAAACCACTATCTGTTAAAGAATAGGACAAGACATTTGTGAGAAAATGAGGTAAATCAGGCTCTCTCATTTCCCCAAAGGAGGTATGCTTCCCTGATGCAGCTACCTAAAAGAAATACATTATTGGAAAAAAAGGGACTGGATTCCTGAGTACTTCCTAGAGAATCCACTCAGGCTCTAATACCAGTGGAATCAATAAATTTTGGTCTTCCAGCGGCTAGAAAGGCTGGGAGTAGTTAGCAGCCAATCAGGACCCACCTCCCTGCTTTTATACAGGGTGGAAATTAAACAGAGCTGGGTAAATGATATTTCTAATTCTCAACAAAAATTATTCATCACTCACTCAAGGGGCACAATTAACAGATCAATAAAATCATTTCACCCCTTCAAAACATTTTTTAGCAGCTATCTGCAGTTTCAAGGACAAGGCCTTGTCTCTATATGCATTCAGAATGGTTTTGTTTCACAACTTATGAGGATCAGAGACTTAAAATTCAAAATTTGCATTATCATAGTCCCTAGAATGTTAAATGAAATAAAAACTGAGAGTATAGAGCACTTGCTGAAATCAGATCCTCTAAGATTATTTTTCTACTACACACAACATAATCAGAAGAATATCTATACGTTATATCTTTAAAAATATCAAAACTTTATTTCTATTTTTCAGAGACATGTTCAGACTATTTTACAGTAGTGACAGAGACAGACAATCATTGGGCACGTCTACATGTGCATTAAGGTGCTTCTGATGCACATTTAATGTAGTACTTCCAATGTGAGGGTGTTTTACATACACAAGCACTGCAGCGCCGGGCGCTTTGAAAAGCACCTGGTGCTGCGACATTTGCAGTTGTATAAAAGGTGAAATGCATGTCAGCATTGAGAAAGTGGCAATGGCACACTTGTGCATTTAAACACATCAGAGGTACTTTAGTTCAGAAGTGCACCACCGCCATTTTCCACACCGCTTATACAATTGCATGCGGCACAGTGCATTTTGCATCAGCTGACAAGCAGAGCAGACTCACTTAATCAAGTCTGCTCTGAAGCAGCGAATCTCTGGTGCATCACGAGACAAAAAAGTATATGTATAAATGCCCTGAGGTACAAATTTGCATTAGGCTGCCTTAATGCGCAGTAACAAATATGCACAGTTTAAGTGACATTTAATGAACAGTATCCAATTTACTGTGCATTAGTGTAATTGGACATTTTTTATGTAACACTTTAATGCACAGTAATATAGGCTATTACACAAGAAAGTGCAAGTGTAGACAAGCTCATTATTAGTGAACAAAAGCAGCAAGTGCTGTTCTGCTCAACAACAGCTCTGCATAGTAGCCAGGGCCAGCCTTTTTTTGGATTCATCTACATTCCAATATTTATCCACTACAGTAAGCCCACAGCAACAACTTCACTTGTCAAGTTTACCTACCCATTTTCAGATAACCCCAGCCTCCTCTGGATCTATCAGCATAGGAATGGCCCAGATGGGACCCTCCTACCAGAAAAATATTCCTACAGCCTGATGTTTCACTTGAAGTCACCTTTGCCCTTCATCCTCCTCCAGCTTTAGAAGTGTGCAGACCATAATTATTTCTTACAAATGAATCATCCAGAAACCATTCTGAATATACATTCCAATGGGTCAGCTCAGTTATTTTTCTAGTGCGCAATTATAAGTTGTTAGTAGTCATGACAGCCAGCCTACAGTCAGCCAATTATCTTATTCTGTGAACCTGTCACAAATGTCCTTTCATTCAGATCCTTTTTTAGTCTGTATACTTGCAAAAAGAATAAGGACCAAAATCGAACAGAAAAGATCTTGTACTTACAGTTGTACGTGGTCTTTTTTCTTATACCAGTAACGACTACATTCTGTTTTCATTATCATACACCTGATAGAATATACAATCTTATTGTATGTTTTAGCAAAAACTGTAATTTGTAAATTTTTATTGTTATATATAATGTTATTACCCATTTAATTGCATTGCTTTAGCAAAAGCGGCAAATACGTGAATACATTTAACAAGCCCAAGTACCATAGGCACCAATATCAACTCTTTATTGAATGTGAAGACATAAATCTCTTAAAAACAAGCTGTTTTCTCTCAGTCTTTTCTTCAGTTTTCTCACTATGCCTTAATGGGCCTGGAGCCATCATATTCTTAGAATTATGTTTCTCAAAACCTCAGTCCAAACCATGTTTTTTTCCAAAATTCCAGTAGTTACATACAGGCAAAACTCCTACCATAGTCTAATAGCTATATTATTCTCTCCAGCCTCAACTGGGCAATATACAAACATACAAATAGAGGTCATAGAAGCCGCTGTTGTTAAGGACAGTGACACGGGGTGGGGCCTATGGGCGGCCGTGATCCCGCTAGGCCCCCCTGCCGTGCCAATTAGGAGATCCAGCACCCTCTTATTTCTCGCCCGCCACGTCTTTGATCTTATATAGGTTTATATGGGATGCTGCCTTTGGTCTCCTAACTTCTATGGGTGACCTGGTGCACCCCAGCCTTATGGGCTATGCGTGCCTCCTACCTCCCTTTTAGCACGACCCAAGCCTCGTAGCTATTCTGGATGTTCTTGTGTCTCCAACCTTATACTAGCCCCTCCTGGGCTTTACTCTTGCAGGTTGGCTCCCCTTGGGCCTATGCCACGTGCTTCCCGCGCTCTTCCCTTCTCCGGGGCCTGTCTCTGCGCCTCTTGCACTCTTGCCCCTCACGGGGCCTGTCTCGTGCCAACAACCGCACCTGGGGCTCAGGTGGCACGCAGCCAGGCCTGGCCCCTTGCCCCTTTTCGGGGTCTTTATGCCACACGCTTCCCACGCCTCTCGCGCCCTTGGCTCTCTCGGAGCCTGCTCCCGCGCCCCTCACGCCCTTGGCTCTGTCTGCTGAGCCTACGCACCAGCCCTGTCTCAGGCTTTTACCGGCGCTGGGGCTCAGGTGGCACGCAGCCGTGCCTGGCCCCCTGACCCTTCTCAGGGTCTTACGCCCTCACGGGGCTGAGTACTGCCCTCTTGGGCTGGGGTCTCAACCCCACACACCGCACCACTCTGGTGCCAAGCTGTTGCGCCTTCCCAGCGCTGCTCGGTGCCCAAACAGGGCACCTAGGAATCCCCAGACTACTGGGGAGCTCCTGTGAGGCCTCCTCACACCCCTACAGCCTCACCCGGTCCTCTGGACGATATACACAACAAAAACAATAGGCCTACTGGCAGGAACAAAAACAATAGGCCTACCGGCAGGAACAAAGTCCAGGCCCTCCTGGCTCTCTGGCCAAAGACTCCCGGTCGGGCTTCTCCCTGCTTTCACCATAATGCCGCCCTCTGGGTGCTCAGGCTGCACTGCTTAGTTTAACCCTCCTGCAGAGCTCTTACCCCTCAGGTTGCCAGAAGGGAACTACCAGCCAGGCTCCGGCCTGGCTGTTTATAAGGGCCCGGCCCTGCCCCCTTCTGGTCACGTGACCAACCTGGTTGCTCCAGCAACCTGCTCCTGAGCTGCCCTGGTGATTGGCAGCTCAGCCCGTTTACCACTGCCAGTAGCAGGCACCCTGGTGCCCTGCTACACATCTCCCCTTCCCGCGGTTGAGCCTCCTTAGGAGTGGGGCGCGGGAGTGCCCCACGACAGACAGTTAACAATTACTTCTCCACATTAATTCTGCTTACTAGTTTTAGATGCTATTGAGCAGTAATGTAACAAGGGTTGGATGATTGGGGCACCAGCACCAGGCCCCAAGTAGAGAGGGTGCAAGAGTAGCAACCACTGCCACTGCCAACCCAGCTACTACCACTTCTACAGCTGGCCCTACAGGTTGCCACTGTCACTGAGAGCACAGATCTGGGTAGTTACACCATTGCTATAGAGTCCATTTTCACAGGAAATTTTCCCACACACAAGACAACAACATTCTCAGAATTCTCTGATCATGCCAATTGAAGAGTAGATAAAGCAATTGCAGAGCTGCTGGCCATTATGTTTGAAAATTTGTAGTGATTGGGGAAGGTCCTGGGTGATTGGAAAAGAACAAATATGATGCCCATCTTTAAGAAAGGGAAGAAGGAGGATCCAAGGAAGTACAGACTGGTCAGCCTCACCTCAGTCCCTGGAAAAATCATGAAGCAGGTCCTCAAGGAATCCATTTCTAAGCACCTGGAGGAGAAGAAGGTGATTAGGAACAGTCAGCATGGATTCACCAGGCAAGTCATGCCTGACCAAACTGAGAACCTTCTATAACTGGCTCTATGGATGGGGGAAAAGCAGTGGACATGATGTACCTTGAGTTTAGCAAGGCTTTTGATACAGTCATCCACAACACTCTTGCAAACAAGCTAAGGAAGTATGGGTTGGATGAAAGGACTGCAAGGTGGATAGAAAGCTGGCTGGTTCATTAGGCTCAAAGGGTAGTAATCAATGGCTCAAGGTCTAGTTGGTAGCTGGTACCAAGTAGAGTGCTTCAGGGGTTGATCCTGGGGCCAGTTTTGTTCAATATCTTCATCAATGACTTGGAAAATGGGATGGAATGAACCCTCAGCAAGTTTGCAGATGACACCAGCTGGGGGGAGTAGTAGATATGCTGGAGAGTAGAGCTAGGATACAGAAAGACCTCAACAAATTGGAGGATTGGACCAAAGAAATCTCATGAGGTTCAGCAAGAACAAGTGCAAAGTCCTGCACTTAGGACGGCACAATCCCATGCATCCGTACAGGCTGGGGACCAACCAGTTAAGCAGCAACTCTGCATAGAAGGATCTGGGGGTTACAGTGGACAGTAAGCTGAATATGAGTCAACAGTGTGCCCTTACTGTGAAAGTGGCTAACAGCATATTGGGCTGCATTAGTAGGAGTATTGCCAGCAGATCAAGGGAAGTGATGTTTCTCCCATATTCAGCGCTGGCGAGGCCACATCTGGAATACTGTGTCCAGTTTTGGCCCCCCACTACACAAATTGGAGACAGTCCAGCAGAGAACAACAAAAAAAAATGGTTAGGGAGATGGGGCACCTGGCTTATGTGGAGAGGCTGAGAAATTGGGTTCACTGATTCTGGAGAAGAAAAGATTGAGGGAGGATTTAATAGCAGCTTTCAACTACTTGAAGAGTGAATCCAAAGGCAATGGAGCTACACTGTTCTCAGTGATGACAGAACAGGGAGAAATGGTTTCAAGGTTGCAGCAAAGGAAGTTGAGGTTAGATATTAGAAAAAATATATTTCTCACAAGGAGGGTTGTCAAACACTGGAACAGGCTACCCAGAGAGGTTGTAGAATATTCATCCTTGGAGGTTTTTAAGACCGGGCTAGATAAAGCCTTGGCTGGGATGATTTAGTTGGGGGTGGTCCTGGTTTGGGCAGTGTTGAACTAGACTTGAGGTCCCTTCCAACCCTAATTTTCTATTATCCTATGAAAGTCAATGAGTCGTCATGATTTATTAGGACTTTCCAAAGACTATTCAGGAAGTCCCAGAACAGAAGCTACAAAAGACATTTAGTAGTCATGCGGTGAAAAGCAAACACACTAAGGCCCTCTCCAGAGTCAAAGAACAAGAACTGCCCATTTTGTTACTGCATTTTTATCTTTAATACTATGGGATAAGCTTTTATCAGTGATGCTTTCATTGTAAAGATAAGGCCTACTCCTGTCACATGGCAAAGGTGGCCAGTTTTACAGGGTGGACTAGTCCACAACTCCAGGACAACTGGTTAAGGGTTTGTTCCAGAACAGCAGTTGCATTTTGTAACAGGTGTTTATTTCAGGTCCAGACTAATAAGAATCTCTCAACCCACCTCTCCAACCCAGCTTAAACCTTCAGTTTAGAAACCACCAAATAAATGTCATGATAGAATATGTGCAGACATAGACACACTGCAGGTTTTGCTAAAACCAGATTCAGGAATGCTAAAAATGCTCAGGTATTGCTCTCTGGAATATTGAGCACTGATGAAATCAAGGTTCCTGATATATAACTACAAATGTCTTGTTTGTCTAGCTGGATTTCTAGACCTAACCGGTAAGTCCAGTAAGCTTCTAAACTGAATTTCCATAAGTTTATGTTGATTTATTCAGAATTGATAAGTAAGAAATGGAAATATGACTTTGGCTCAGGTTAGTTACCCTGGCTGTATGGAAGGCAAACCTTGTACTGCTGACTGCCAAAGTAATTTATTTTCTGTCAATTCCTATCCACTTTTTGGCATCAGGCAAAGCCTTACTTCTGATCACATCTCCACTGGCTTTGACCTTAGATACATTTTTTAAACATATAAGTAAAATG